ACCTCGATCACTAGCTAATTACATTGAGGGAGGCGCTTGAGAACGGCCTTATAAACAATTCTGCATTCATAACCCAAATTTACATAAATAAATAATTCGATAAAAGCTATAAAGGCTGTAGTGTTCTAAAACAAAAACTAATATAAACTTAACATTTCACGTTCGTCATGTCTAGGGTAGTAATCCCAACTATAAATTAAAAAAATCGGTTAAGCCGATTTTTCGACCCGGTTTACTAAAATCGGCTAGCAGAATTATAAAGTTAGCTCTTTTCGTTATTGCTCGCCTTGTAGTGAATACCGGTTCTATCTCCACACTCCTCTTGCCTGTCTCTCAGTAACTTGTAAACTATGGATTAGTATATTGATGCTCTTAAAGCCAAATACTAATATGTAACTGACGATTCGCAATAACTTTGAATTGATACGTATTATGTTACGAATTGTGAATATAAAAGGATGTTTATTTTTCGGTCTTCAAATTTTTCATCTAAGCCAACTAAGCCGATAAAATTTCATCGGTTTGGTGGTCGAAAAATTTTGGTCGGCTAAGTTCACTAATCCAGGGATCATTATAAAGAAGTTTGTTTAAAGTTTTTTTAGAGTAGGTTCGTTATAAAAAGGTTCGATATGAAGATAATAAAGATAGTAAAGATAGTTGACTGTTACGTTGCATAGACAAATGAGATCAGGAGTTCGAATTATCACGTGCCTGCTCCCGCGTTAATAGGGTTTCAGAATTAATGACTGGGATTCTGGCATTGAATGCTCTATTTTTTATTTGATATTTAAATTCCATTTTATGATAGCAATAGTATCTTCAAACAGAACAACTCGTAGATTTATAAAGTAGAGCCTTTTATACATGGCATAGAAACTATTGCAGATTTTTTGAAAGTATTTCGGTATTAGCATAATTATATATTTTGAAAATAAGTGGGAGTTTAAAAGATTTTTTGTATTTTCAAAATTCCGATTCAACGTATTAAATAGGTACATACGTTAATAAAATTACCTTTTTTTTTGATAAATATCATGATTATAAAATGATTATGTAAATATCATGATTATATAAAAATAGGATTTATGTTTCAAAATTAACAAATAAGTGAACGCATTTCAAAAATAAGTAATATCATTTTTACTATGATTCTCTGATTTTAATTATACTGTAAAAACCCTTTTTTATTGACAATTTCATATTAAGAATCAATGCCGAAATATTTCGGGAATGCTGAAATTATTTTTACACTATATATAGTAGACCTTCTATTTCATTTTCTGCTTTTTAAAGTTAGAAATACACTCATTTTCAAAATCACTAAAATTTCAACTGAGAGGCCAGTCTTCCACATCTGCACTTTCTAGCCGATCATGAACCTTAAAAGATGTTTGATTTTCATCCAAATGTATAATGATTTCTAGAATTTAAAGATTACTTTTACTATTCTCATTTTGGATCTTCAAAGAACATTACGATAGAAATTCGTTCATAATTGATCAACATTAATATGTAACAGTTCTGTTTCACCAAATCCTCATGATCGTTGATTCGTTCGATTTGAATTACGTATGGAGGAGAAAATTCTCCGTAAGTCAATCGTCTTACCACATGTAACACACAAGTAAACTAGCCTTAATAAGGAAATCTCGTCCGATGTAACTAAATCAATCTTAACTTTCGTAAATGTAAAATAAAGCGATTTTCTTGTATCTTAATTCAGTTATTTTTTTTATTTAAAAAAATATTTATATAGATAATGCCTTTAGCTTTTTGACTTTTCGACTATTACTTCCACTATTAAAAGATTTTTTGATTTTAATTTTTCTTAAAACACAATGATTCAACTTGAAGAAACTGAATTGGTTAATGTGGATATTAAATCAAATTCATGTAATTACGTTTTATCTATTTATACTAATTTAATAAGCTTACTATAACCAATAATCACTCATTAATGAATTTTTTATTTCAGCTATTCCATTTATTCATGTCAATGAGTATAATGAAACTATAGATCCATCCAAATATAAAAATGATGCATATGAACATATAAATAAATTAGTTCGTAATTTCATCAACTTTTATAATTTGAATGATGGGTTGATTCTTTGCACGAAAGGATTAAGACATGTAAACAACAAATCTTTTGATTTCAACCAGCTTTATATAAAAGATCACTCTTTTAATTTTAATCAAGTACATTTTATTCCAAAACTTTTGATATGTGAAAAAAGAAATGACTCTTATTTCGCTGAAAATCACATTGATATGACTTCTGAAAGTGACATACCAATGGAGTGGTGCACAATACTTGATTATAACAAAGATTCGGTTCATCCTTTATTTGATAACAGTCAGAAGGAAGAAATTTATTTTACTATCACATATCAAAGAGTTGATTTATATCTTAAAAAGGAGTTTATTAGGCTATCAGATGAGTTTAGAAATCAGGTGAACGATGCTCTAAAAATGGCAGACCCACATTCAGCATTATTAAATGTATTTTATACTTTTGGCAATTTCTTTGCTAAAAAAGTTACTCTTGGTCATAAATTAATTAAACATATTGATAAAGATTGGTATCAATATGTTAAAGAAAAAAAATTTAACGATTATATCGGAGTGGATGAACTACAAAACTTGTTTAAGGAAATGGATTATGATGGTAAAGGTTTCTTAACAGTTAATGGTGAAATTATTAATCAGGAGAATCTTAATAGTTGGATTGAATCATGTAAAGATAATTCTAATCTTCAAATCATAAATCGTGGTGATTTAATGGCATTTTATGAAATCTTGGAAGAATATATTCTTGATGAGGTCAAATCAATTCTTGGAATTCGTGAACATCAATATTTGAAGCCGAGAGAAATTTATCAGGAACATTTGAAATTGCCAAATGCTAGATATCAAGTAATAATGACTGGTTGTGAGAAGATACAATCATCAGTAGTATACCACCGTATTACATTCCAAAAAAGATTAGAAAGTAATGATTTTTTACTTTATGGAAGTATCACGAATGAATCTGGGAAACAGATCGATAATATGATTATTAAATTTAGATCAATCAATAATGATGGGTTTTCCGTGATTATTGAAAATTTTACTGGACATGAGTAAGTTTGATGAAAATTTAACCTATCGTTAATTTGTTTTTTTTTTTAAATTCAAGATTTTAACGGTTTGTAAATTTTAGGATGGAACACTTTGGTAATCAATTGAACATTAATTGGATGCTGGTTGGAGATCCAGATGTGATCAGTTATAGAAATCCATATGTTCAAAATTATTTTGTTGCAAAAGTTGGTACTAAAATATTTAATAACAAAGATCTTGAAAGCTTAAACATTGAATTGCCTCAACCACTTAAAAATGTGAAAAATGCAAGATTCGCCTGTACATTTTACTATTCATCTGATGATGGCCCATCATTTACAGCTTGCATAGAATCTATTGATGCAAAAGGGATCCGATTACATATAAAGAACCTTAATAACAAAACTCAAACACATTTAACAACTTTTGATGAATTTAAAATGCACTGGTGTATTTATTTTATTCCGATTAAGAAAATTATCATTGGACAATTCATACCTGCGAACCAATCTTCAGATAAGATGCCAAAATTTTTAAGAACAAAATCTTCAAAACAAGTGCCTGGCCTAAGAACCGAGTATAAATTCTTTTATTAAATCTGCATATTGTGATGATTAAAAATATATTCTAATTTTATCAATATATATCTATTTTACTAGTGTCTATGAAGCTATTAGTGCATTTAGAGTCATACTTCCTTGGTTTGATGCATTAAATATAATACTTGAAAAGATTTCAAAAACGTATGAAGAAGCCGAATATAATCGAAAGACTTGTCGTGTCTTAACTGATCGTGCTGATGATGTTTTGACCGCAGTTAAAATATTATTTCGGAGAAGAGATGAAGAAGAGGATAAATTTCTCGATGATTATTATGTCAAATCATTTATAAAAATTCACAGAGTTTTAAGAGATATAAAAGAATTTATCAGTAATATTTCTCAACTTAAAGGCCTTTCTAAATTTGTATCTGCTGAAGATATAAGGAAAAGATGTATAGTTCTCATGAATGAATTGGAATCAACTTGTCTTGATCTAGATTTAAACACCACAATATCGGTAGAGGACAAACGCCTTGTACAAAAAAGTCTAATGGAAGACGTAGAAACATTGACTGAGGTGTGAATTTGTGTGAATTTGCATTTTCATCATATCTATTATTTTACATGTATCTAATGAATATTTCATTTTAGTTTCTCGAAACGATTAAAGGTGGTGTTATACAAGATGATATAAAAGATATACGTTACAAAAAAGAAGTGGTGATACCTAGAACATCTAAAATGCCTAGTAAAGTTTTTGATGAAGTTGCAGAAATAAAAAAGAAAATGGAAAAAAAAGAGATTATGTTAAATGCGCCCCTAATTAATCCAGATTCGTTGCAGGAAGATAAAGGATGGATACAAAAAGATGAATGCAGGATATTCAAACGGCTATTAAACGGAAAAATTGAAGTTGCTTGCAAGCGTATTAAAATTCCAAACTCTGAATTACAAATGTTTAATACGCGATTTGCTATTTTAAATCGACTGAAAGTATCCAATAAAATTATTAAATTTCATGGATTTGCTAAATATAGTGATCATTACCTTGCTGTATTCGATTGGGCAGAATGTGGAAGTTTAAAAGAAGTTTATGAAAGAAAAAATTTAGAAAATGATAAATTTTCATGGGGAGATAAAGTCAAAATTGCTCTTGATATTTGTAATGGTCTTATATTTTTACAAGGATGTAACATTTTTCATCATGATATCCGCTGTGAAAATATTTTGGTAAGTTATTCAAAAATATGCACACATGTATAATAGTATTATTAATTTAAATTGCTTTAATTTATTAGATTTCTGGTAAAGATAAGAATTATCATGCAAAACTTGCAAAGTTCGATCTTAGTCGACATGCTAAACATATTAGCACCAAAATTAAAAGTATGGATGAAATAATACGTTGGTTGGCACCTGAGAAGATGACTTCTGATTCTTTTGATTCAAATCTTGGAAACGATAATTGTACATTTAAATGTGAAGTGTTTAGGTAAGTAAAAAAAGATATATAATTTGTTATTTATTTATATACTTGTTATGACATAATAAAATAAGTGACCTTTCTAAATAGCTATGGTATGCTTCTATGGGAACTTGCTTTTCAAGAAGTACCCTACAAAAAAATGGACATTATGAATATAGTGAACTATGTAAAGTCTGGTAAAAGGGAGCATCTTAACTTTGATAATAATTGTCCCAGATATATTACTACTGGAATTTCGAGAATTATTCAGATGGGTAAGTAATTAGATTTTAAAAGCAAAAATTTATTGTTTAATTTTTTTACAACTCGATATATTAACACCACTTTAACTAGCATGGACACATGAACCTTCTGAGCGACCATGCATTAATGCTTTTAATGCCGAGCTCAATCAATTAAGACTATTACTTAAAAATCATCACACGGGTCTTAATGACGAATCACGTCTTACTGTAAATGATGATATACTGCCATTTATTCCGTCTTTAGAGGAAGGCATTGAAGCGCACAACAGAAAAAACGTAAATGTAGCTTGGGAATGTTTTAACATACATGCTGATCTTGGAGATCATACTGCGAAATATTGGAAAGGTTTATATTTAAAAGAAGGTTATTATAAGGGTGTAAAAAATTTAGCAGAAGCCATAAAACTTTTTAAGGAAGCTGCTGATGAAAATGTTCCTGAAGCACAACTTCATTATGCACTGGAGATAATAAATATTGACGAACATGAGTATATAAAATATTTAAAAAAATCTGCTGCTAATGGTAACCCCACAGCTTTATTCTACTATGGTATTTTATCCCTGGATGGAAAATATGTAGAGAAAGATGAGAATATAGGAATACAGTGTTTAGAGTTGGCTACTGCAAAAGGTCAAAAACAAGCAATTGATGAACTTAAAAAACGTAATATTCACTTTGGTAAGTTCATGTATCTATATATCATTGCTTTATGTTATAATACTTTTCAATTTTATTAATAATATTTTTCAATTCTCACAGCAACACAAAAATGGTGATAAAAAGAAATAATTAAAATTTAATATATATGTTCGCACACTTATGTAGAGAATTGTATTTAATTTAATTGTATTAGTTTTTTTTTAATGATATCCTCTTGCTGTCAAAATATTTAAACTAAAAAAAAGGGTTTGCATACATAGTAATATATTCAAATATTGCGCACTAATAATATTAACACTCAATAATGATTAATATTGGCTGCTTGATTTGCAATTTCACCTGGCATCATTATATTATGCAATTATTCGAATGAATTGTTATATAAATTCAAGTAGTCATGTAATAACGATTTATACCTGGTCTAACGAATAATATTTATTAAATCAATTCAAATCTAAATTTCTTAAAGAATTGGTTGAGAACATCATATCCCTATCCTTTTATTCTCATTATAAAAAGATCAATCAAGCTGAAATTCCGTTTATTGTAAGTTCAAAAGTTTTGCAATATATAGTATAATAAGAATTTTAAAATATTCAGAAGGATCACTCTGCTATAGTATTAATAGTATTAACGATATCCTATTAATTAGGGTAGAATATAAAATTAGGTATTTCAATTTTAACGATCTAAAGATTACTAAAATGCACCTATAAAGTTTTATATTTATATATGCATTATCTCAAGAACTAATCGTGTGTAGTATTTTAATGAAACGTTCTATCTCTCCAAAAATTTTTAAATATAACCATAAATACTAACATGAAAAAATCTTTAGAAAATTACTTCGTCTCACCATTGGTAATATCACCAGTGATAAATCGTAATTTAAATGTACGTATAAACGTGTAAATATAAATGCCTGTCACGTCACATAACAAATCGCCATAAAGCTACTTTTATTGTGGATTTGATTGGGTTAAATCACGTGAATCTCTTTTTTTTAAAGTCAATATTCGATGTAAAGCGTCTACATAAACGATTTCTCGAATCTGAAAATTCATTTGCAAAAAAGTGTGGCCTCTGCAGATCATCGTGTTAGGTGATTTTTTGATTCAAAGGAAATTATACAGATTTCCAAATAATATTGCTGATTGTATATAAGAGTGCTGCCAAGGGAAAACCTGTTATCGGGTTTTCGATTATATTTGTGTCCAATTTGTTTCAAAACGCCGTCTAGGGAAAATCTATCATCGGGTTTTCAATTATACTCATCACAAAATATAATTGAAAGCCCGGTAATAGATTTTCCCTAGACGACACTTAGAGAACAAACTGGACACAAATATAATTGAAAACCTGATTACAGGTTTTTCCTTGGCAGCACTCATATGATTGATAGACAAATCTAGAACCTCCAAAATTCCCCACTATCGTTATCATGACAATCACCTTTGCAAATCGCAATAGTAAAAATTACAGTTGTTTTACAGCTATTTTCAAAAATGTGTAAACAATGATTTCCACATACCTATGCGGGGAATCGAAGAATTGGGAAATTATCATTAGTAAAAATTGAAGCTCCGATTAAAGCGCTTTGAATTGCCTGTGATATAGTTATTTGCGTCTGTTCACACCTTTTTTTGAAAACAAGGATTTTTACATACTTTTGTCGGAAATCGAAGAATCTGAAATTCTAATTAGCAAAAATTATCGCGGTCTGCAGATCATGGTGTCATGTAAATATAAGAGGCGATTTTCCGATTTCAATATATATATATATTTATTGTTATCTATTGTCGATATACTATTTAGAATCTCATCTTTTTCAAACCGCTATAAAGATTCGATTAGAATAGGTTTTGAAAATTCTAGAAATTTGAGAATTTCTCGATCTACATTTTTCCATATGAATGTTGCCAAGAGAAAATAAGATTTTGGGCCCCTGAATACGTAATCTTCTATCTATCTTCTATCTATCTATCTATCTATCTATCTATCTATACCATCTAATTCAGAGTTCGTCCGTTTAAACGTTTCTGATTGGTCATCTTTAGA